ACAAGGAAGGTAAAGCTTGTCTTGACAATAAGTAGGTAAAGTTTTCCTACAAAATTATATGATACGGAGCATGTAAAGATTGCAAACAATAAGATAGCAAATGAAATGGGTCCTAAAGGAGGTTGTCAGCTCGAGATTCAAATTCTTATTTTTATTACTTTTGTCTATTTTATGAGCTTTCAAATAAAATCTTATAAGATGTTTCTGATTATAATCTCAGCCGAATAGCCTATTGAAACAATTTAATACTACATGGTTACGAATACAATAATTCCCAACTGGCTCATCCATTGCTTAACATATTTTTTTTTCATTTAAAAATAAAGTACATACCTGTTGCTTCATGACATCTTTCTCTTCCTCCTCTTTCGCCTTCTCTTCTTTCAGAGCTTCAATCTTGTCCTTAATAAGCTCATCAACTTTGCCCGTGTATTCCCGGATAAACTGCAAAGCAGGCCAAAATATGACGCATGTTAAGCACCCAACAGAAATCAGCATAATTCGTATTAAGTCCTAGTGCTTTTAATAATTATGCGCACCACAAAGAAATCAAAATGAAAAACATCATTCAATAGGGAATCTCACCTGTAAAAGATATGGGAAGGCAAAGTCAATCATGTTGTTCATCCAGGCAAGTTCAAGAGCAACATCTGCGCGGATCAGATCGTAACAAACAAAAAGGCAGGAAGCAAAGCACTCCTTCTTTCCCTGCATAAAGCATAGAAACAACGGTTACAACACCAATTCAAACCATCTGAAATTACCTATTTACCAGTACCTTAATACAACTGAAGCACACACATAAGCTACTAGACATGAACTGCATGACAAGCAACTAATTGTGCCTTCTTGCCACATCATTAAAGTATACAGAAGTTATTAATTGTTCAAATCTCAGCAGAAAGCCCATTATAAAGGTGACCCTATAAATCTAAAGTGTCCATGTGAAAAATGAAGTCGCCTAAAATGATAAGCGCCATGCAATAAATACATCATTGGCCGATTACAGCACGGACAAAACAAAATTCAGAATCAGAGACAAAAATGAGCTTCAAGATATGCAATACCTGTTCAATGAAGTAAACAAGCAACTCCTCGGCAAGTTCACGGTCACCGGACTGTGAAGCCGTCTCCATTGCATCTTTGTAGAGGTTATCTTTCTTCGAAAGAGCAATCGACTGCTTCCATCTCCCTGCCTTCTTGTAGATGTACGCGGCAACACGTCTCATCTCAAGTAGCTCGTGTTTCTCAATCTGCTCAGAAAAAATACAAGTTATATATAAAAGTATATCCTTCAATAAAGTGCACATAATTTCATCGTGGAAAAAGTTACAACTTACCTTTTGAGCAAGCCCAATCTGGTCAAAACTATCATGAAGGTCGATTGACTCACGCAGTCTGTCATAATCTTCCTCCTCTACATAGATTTCATTGAGAGCCTCATTCACTGCTGACACGTTATTGCTCTGAACCGCTACCATATACGGCTTGACAAGACGCAGGTGGCCCGCCTAAAGGGAGAAAAAATGAAAGCTTTAAGACTAGTCCAAATCTGATATAATTTGAACAAACAGTTACTATATCAAAGAATAAGAAACATATATAAGTTTACCTTTCTCATGATGTCCACAACACGAGTATGATCCAAGCGAAGGGCAAGAACGTTGAGAACATCATTGATGAGATCAGGGTGCTCTTGTAAATAGAAGTGCACCGCTTTGTAATACAGCTCCACATTTGCCACCTTAACAATGATATCTTTGAACTGCATGTGATCCCAAGCTTCTGGGGAGTGATTCATGACGGTGGTGGCAGCATTGTCAAACTCGTCATACTGAATGTACAAGTAAGTCAACTCCTGCCAGTGCTGTTGCTCATCGCATGCCCGGATAAGTTTCGGGATATTGAGACGGGTAGAGAACAATTTAATGTGTTCCATGAGCTTCTCATGGCGGTATCTAGCATAAAGAACACCGAGCTCCGTAAAAATCCCCATATGTGCACGTTCCAATCCCAGACCACTCTCCATAAGAGAAATAAGCTCGTTAAAGCATCCTCTGTTCTGATAATACTCGCTTACTTCTTCCAGATCATCCACCTGTAATAATCAGAGATTAATGTTACTTTGTGTTTTTTAAAATGCTTTACCCAAGGCACAAGAATCAGCTGGATCAAGCAATAGCATAAAAAAGGATGCTGATCATTTAAGACAGTTTGAGATCATTTCCTTCGTTAATTTATTTGATGGACATTTTTTATCCCTTTCCCTCATGATGCTGATATCTCCCGAGCAATTAGCTAACATTATTGATTTCCTTACAAAAATTTCGCTGGAACTCTATGCAAAGGTGAATTATTTTATAAATAATCCAAGCAACAACTACAAGAAAAACAAGAAAGGGAACCCCATTAACATTTCCAATTTGTTTTTAAATCTCTATTCTTTCATCTTCTTCCTAAAGCATGTATAATCCATGTTCTCCTAAAATAATGACAGTCAATAGCAGTACCTGCACAATAATATTGAGACCGCATATCTGGGCCAAACGGAACTCCTCAGCATCCACACATGCAAAGCAAACTTCCTTCCACGTTTTGGCACTATTGGCTTTACGAGCGGCATCAACGGCACCTTGGAACTGTCTCAACTTCACTAGTGTAATGGCCAGCTTGCCCCAGTTGGAAATGAAAGCAAAAATGATCTTTGCAGCCTCATACAGGGTTTCATCGTACAAGCGGTCACCAACACTAGGCAGATTGGCAACGTTTGGCATCAGTATGAATTCTTCAATGTCTCCAAGCCTATCAATCTTGGCATACGCATAAATGAGCTCGCTGTCCACCTTGGGCTCCTTTGCTTTCTGCCTAACCATTAGAAGATACTTCACCAGGTCATCATAGACATCGGCATCCTCGGCAGCCTTGATTACTTCCAGGAATTGGGTGGCATCGTCAGCCCGAATAAACGACTCAATGGCATCACTAACCAATCCCTCACGAAGTTGAGCTTTAGCAACCTGACTCCAGACAGCATCCTCCTCGACACGGAAAGCAAACTCCACAGCTCGATTTATGTCTCGAATATGATCCAATAACACATCGACAGCCTGGACGTTCAAGTTGAACTTCTTGAAAATAGCAAAGGCTTCTTCGTATAACTGAGCTTCAACAGCCACTTCTCCAACGGCAGGACCATCAAAGTTATCGAGTCTGTTAATGTAGTCGATGACCCTCGGTGGATCAGCCTTTATCGCGGTCAAGATGAGCAGATTCTGTAGATTGAAGTTCCCACTGAACGCTGAGTTCTGCAGCACGATCTTTTCCAGTAACTCGATTAGTTCGTGAGGAAGGTCGGCTGTCATAAAAGCTTTAACGGCAGCTGAAACTTGGTCAGGGCTCTTGCTTTCGGGCAGTGCAGTGGATACGACTTGATCGATGAGCAGCCTTCTGAATTCGTTCTCAGGGTCAAGAACTTTTGCCCAAAGATCACCATCCATTCTTTCAACGACATACCTGAGGAAAGTGAATGTCAAACTGTCAATCAGTCTCTTGTTCAGAAGACATGAAGACAAGGAACATGCTTAAAAAATCAGTCACAAACCTAGCTTGAAGCTTGAACAGAGAGTTCTTATTTGTCACGTTAATGAGTTCATCATCACACTGCCCCCTCCGATATGCAACAACGGCAAGAGTTGGATCACGTTTCTCACAATATTTACCCACGACACGTGAATCATAGTATGGGTTGGTGGTCAGGAAGTGTTCTGGATTGTTGTTGCTATCTATTATGATTTTACCCAAAGCATTGTGGACATGCACATCTTGGCTTCCTTCACTCACGAGATGCTCCAAAAACTGAGTTAGTAGGCGAAGCCGATTCCTGCATTCCAGAGGTAAAGCATGAGCATTTCTAGAAAAAAACTATCTCGACACAGATTTTTGTGGCCGCGGATGAAGTACCTTTTCTCACATTCCTCCACCAGGGGTTCAACTGGAAGCAGAGAGCGGACAGAAAGGATAAGGCCTTTAATGAAATCTTCAGGACACTCATCATCTAGAAGCTGCCCAACAACTAACGGAGCATTTCCTGGATTGACCTAATTAAGGAGATAGCTACTCAATTGTACGTAAGAGAATCATCTTTATAAAAATCAAAACATTCAATAAAAATGCATACCTTTTGCACATAACCTTCAATATACCGAAGCATGTTGTTAGAGTACAAGTAATGGGTGAGGTCGGGAACAAAACCAAAGCGGTCGCAAACATTGATCAATGGCCTTGCATCAGGAAGTTTGGCATCCATTAAAAAGTTCTTAGTTTTTTCAGGGTTGTAGAAATCTGATTCTCTAGTTACCCGCTCAACCTCCTTAATTTGTCCCGTCTTGGCAGCTGCCTCAATGTACTTGAAGTGAATCTCAGGATCCTCGCTGCAAGATATCAACATTAGCATAAACTACATTTTCATGTAGAAGTTGGGTTTTCTATAGATACATTACCTGGAGCTCAAATATGATCCTAAGAAGAAATATAATCCTTCATATGACTTGAACTGCTCGAACAGCTTAATGCATGCTTCAACTCCCAGATGCTCACAATATTCTTTAGCAACCTACAAAAGGTTTATACAGAAAGGTCCAGTAACATAAAATAAGACAGACGTCCCTATGTTTGCACTTTGTAACTAACTCCGTTTGATATTCCGATATCATAATTTTTGACAATAATTTTTTTCAACACTACCTTGGAGTGCAATAAGAATATGCAGATGCATTTGTAAAACCTTCCCTACCTGAACAATTATCTGAAGGTTTCCTCTCAAATTGACCAACAAAAGATCCTTCATACACTCCATAGCCCATTCCTTGGAAAGTGATCCGAAAAACTCCACAAGTGCCTGAAATGACTAATTGTCAAGCACTAGAACGACCATCAACTAATGGTAAAGAAACAACGCAAGATCAATAACCTGCGGCTCAATTGCATGAGTATTCACAATGACGCGCTTGATATCAGGCAATTCAGAGTAATGCTGCAGGCAAAGGTAGATTGTTTAAGATATATAGAAAGCAAACATCATATGCTGACAGTAGACACAAATGAAAGACATCCAAACCTGAAGTGCTCGCACGTAGAGGCCAGCTTTCTCACATAGCTGTGCAATTCGAGGCCTATCATAGTGACTAAACATGCCATTTGCCAATATGGCATCAGCAACATTTGGGAAGGTAACTAGATTTATCTCCAGGACCTGAGGTAAGATATGAGTTGTGACATCATGCTTCCAACAAAGAACTGGAGACTGACATGACTTACAAGAGCAAAAGTCATAATATAGTTATTTTACCTTCGTTTGCAGGAATGCATGCTCCGGCAGATTTGGTTTCAAAACATCCAACAGAAATGCTGTAGCTTCACGAATCATATTCCTCTGGAAAGGAAAACAAGAATAAGGATTTATGTTATTTTTACAGAGATCAACCATAATAAAATTATGCACATGAAAACATGCTCTCAGGATGGGGAAGAGAAGGAGAAATTTTGACCTGAAGAAAGAGATCAGTAATGGTATTATAATCAACAGGGCACCCTCCCTCCATTTGTGACATCATTGAGGCAAAATTAACAGCTCCCTGCATACGGAACACACTTACAAATGTGAGTCCAATTACTGATCAGTTATAGGTGGATTTGAAATGACAAAGAAAAAAAACACTAAAGAAGAGAAAAAAAAAGGCAGAACTGATGCAACAGATATTAGGACTTTGTTTTATTGATTTAAATATACCTGTGGATCTGACCGAAGAATTGTCTGCAGAAGAAATAGATAGTCGGGTGTATACCCAACCTGTTCCAAGATAAAAAAAAAAAAAACTAATTGTCATTGCAATGCATTACATAGTGGTTAGGAATCAAAAGAAAAGCAAGCAGCTCCTCCAATACTATGATTTTTGGGAACCAACCCAAAAGAAGGATAAAGATGGTAAAACAGTTGTTTGAATGACCTGCTTGGAGTATATTAAGATTTTGTCGAACTCTCGACGCTCCGCAAAAGCAGCAACAACTTTTGGTGTAGCTCTGGCTTTGATATATATTTTCAGTGCAAGGTCATTGTCAACAGTCTACAAAACAAGAATGAAGCAAATTTTGTTATGCAATATAAGGTTGAGGTTCCACACAATATGAAATAACTAAAATTAGAAACTGAAGGCAAAAGGATCTTTAAAACATAGAGCAAACCTAACCTTCACAAGATCTCCAAGTTCTTCGCTACATTCTAGTTTATCCTCAGCCAACCAGGTTTCCACTAGATTCTTCTTGTTCTGATTGACCACCAGACGAGATAACTCCAAAGATTCAAAGGCATTAAGTTTTCCTTTTGTTAACAGTGTCCCAAAGTACTGCAGCAGTGGTGGTGTCTGCCCTGCTTGTACAGGAACGCTCTGAAAAGGCCCAAGTGTCAATATTTTGAATAACACAAAAAATTATAATCACACTACATCTGCAGTTAAAATTCTGAGATGGGAATGATGATCTCCATAGAAATTTGTACTTCGACAACTATATACATGCTTAACACTGAAAAGTTCAAAATAATCTATAATTGGGAAGAGATACCTGAAATTTTGCAACAGTGTCAGGCGTCCGGAGGATGCCTTGTGGAGATTCTGCAGCAAGCTCAGCAGCCTCTTTATATTTTGTCTGAGCAAACAACTCTTGGAAGCGTTGAACAACCTGAGAAATCAATAATTGGGTAAACATAAACTATATGTCTCTTCTTAGACAAATCAATCAATCAACAAGCCGTTAAATCCCACTAAGTGGGGTCGGCTATATGGATCACATGTCGCCATCATGCTCGATTCAAGCACATATCCTCATTCAAATTTAAATATTCTAAATCATTTTTTATTGCCTCTTTCCAAGTTTTCTACGGTCTAGCCCTCCCCCTTTTAATTTGCGTCTTAATTCTAATCTTTCTACCCTTCTCACCGGTGCCTCGAAGTCTCTCCTACGCACTTGCCCAAACCATCTTAATCGTGATTCTCTCAATTTCTCCTCTATGGGCGCTACCCCAACTTCATTTCAAATATTACATACATAACAAAAGAATGGACATAATACTCTTTTAACTTTTATGGGGTTAACCTGCTTATCAAGTCATAAACACAATCAATACAGAAATATCATAAATCTTGCCTTGGCTCAGCTCTTCATAAGGAAACAATTCTCAACAAATTCAACTCAACACTACAAAGTCGTTCAACAAACAAAAGCATTACTAAAAAAAATTTTGCCACAGAAGTTGACTTAAATTCAATATCACAGACATGAGAAAAAAGAATAGCTCTTGAACCCAAATTAACTTACCAAATTCTCTGCACCGGGAAGGTTTCCTCTTTTGGCAAGATTGACAGCTAGCTCCAGATTGTTCAACTGGAATAAATCTTCCAAGACTCAATAATTGAAATGAAACATTATCCTTTTGGGATATGCAGTAGAAGATAAGCTAGCAAATAAACCTGGCCACTGACGAAAGGGATAATAGTTGCTTCATTTACTGTAGCAAGTAAAACCTGTCCTCGCCTATTAATTGCATAGAAACCACCAACAGATGAAGCTTCTGAAGTCAGGAAAATGGGATCTGGACTGATTCTATTTCTGTATACAGCTGTCGCAGTTTCCAGATCATATACAAACAGCAGTCCAAGTTTTGTAATCACATATATAAGGCTATACTTGTGCGATATCTGCAAAACCATGCAAAATCATACACAAATAAATGAGAATGTGAAATTCACACAAGGAGAAAACAAGACATAAAATTCCAAGGGGGAAACGCTATTGTACTCAGAGAAGCAAATACCTGCATAGCCACTGGAAAATCGTCAGCAAAATCTGGAGGGAAGAACAGATCCGCTTGCTTTTTCGTAAAAGCTGGCTTGCCTGAAACAGGTTGGAAGTTGTAAGCTGACAAATACACATATTGAGAACTTACAAAAAAGAAAGCACTATATTATTCAAACATGAAGGAAAATATTCTCACCTGGCTGAGCACCGAGCTCAATAACATGCAACTTAGATGTAATCTGACCAGCATTAGAAGTTTTTGTTGCAAAAGAAATAAGAATTGAATCCTTGTCATTTCCAGCTACCTGCTCAAGGATATACAAGACATAATAAGAAATTCGTCCATAGGAACATCAAATGGTTCACCCCAAATCAAAGGACCACCTACTCTGAAAGAAGCGAATGATGCAGCATGTGCTTCAAGAGCCTGACTACGTTGCTGATCCACAGAAAACAGCTGCATGCTTCCCTTGACCAGTTGAGGACGCTAAAGAAGGAAATTCATCTCAGTAAGTTTATAGTCAATCAAACACAGCAAAAAGGACAGTTCAAAAACAAGCCATCTTTCAACAGCTTCCGGTACGCAAAACCTCCAATTATTTTTGACCCACTTGCAAAATGTATGTATGATGGAAAAGTACAAAATAAAAAGATAGTATAAGAGGCGGGGAGGGGGAATAATTACAATTTCATTTAAAACTAATAGATCAGCGTGGAAAATCATAAAAATGGACCATCAGGAAACACCATGTGAAGTGAAAAACTACTTCACCATATCAGACCAACTCAATATAGCATCCCAAGTTGCAGCATAAGGTTCCATATAAGAATTTCCAAACATAGGGAAAGCAGCTCAAAAAGAGTACCATAGTATATAATGAGAGACACGTACAGACATTATTTTTTAAAAAATCAAGTTCTTAGCATGTAAGAGATCTTTTCTGACTCAGCCATGATCTAATTCTGATAGCATCTACTACTTTGTTTCCTCACATTCAACAGAAGTGACTGTCTGAAAAACCATTGGAATCTTAAAGAACAGCAATTGTAGAGTTATAACTTTTGGCCTAATATCTCAACGAGGTATAATACCCACAATTAAATGGTAGGCAACAGTGCAAATTGTTCCTAGCACCATGCTCCTTAAATAAGACCGATATCAACAAAAATGCGCGACACATGCAAATGAATTGTGGTATGCATACAAAAGCATGCTGTCAACTATACCGTGACCACCCTGATACTTCAATAAATTGGAAAACTAATAAGACCAGCATTGAGATTTGTTGATGGAATAAAGAACAGACAAAGTTAACATATCAAAGATCAATAAGACAGCAACTTGTAAAATAGATCACAGAAATGATTCATGATGCATTATCTTGTATACAAAAATATGTATAAAACTGAAGAATAAGTTCTACTTGTCCACAGATGTCCTGTGTTTCAAGTAAGAACTCATACGTAGGTATAACATCATTAGTAAGACAAAAAGAAAAAAAAAGGACAATGAATATTTTCCAGGACAACTAACAAATATTTTTCAATAATAATAATACATTAGAACTGGGTAAGGGAATCAACACAGAGCAGCACAAGCACAAAAAGAAGGAAACAGCAGGAGGATATTCATTCAGTCAAAATTGTGCAAACCAACAGGGCAAGACAGACATTCTTTTTACAGAAAACATTGAATTTCAAATGACTGCAACTTGTATCTACCACTTGAAAATATATAAGAAACAACATAGCAATCACGCACCTCAGGAGAGCCAGGAGCAATCCCGATCAGCACCAACCATTTTTCAGAAGGATCGCATTTATAATTTATAATCTGGTTGTTCGCTAAATTGGCAGTTCTGTCAAACATCTTTACTGGCTCGGAATCTCCTACTCAGGTATATCAAGGAAGAAACATTTGAAGGCAAGACACACACAAAAATGAAGGAGAAATAATGATGGCAAAATTAAAGAACCAAGAAACGTGAACCGAACCTTCAATAGACCAGTGATATACGGCGGATTGTGTCACCAAACCCAACATCTTAGGGGTAATCCACTTCCAAAACACAACCTGTCAACATGTAGAAATTTGATTATGTGAGCATAACAAGAGCCACCACATAATGAGATAAATTAAATGTGCTGTTTCATTAAGCATCAATGAGTTCTTCAGATACTAAGATCTTGCCTGCTCAGGCATCTGATGTGACTTGAGTTTTGCTTTTGCTTCAATGTTAAATATTTGCAAGTGATCTTGTGTCGTTCCGGGAAGTTGAGCTTCAACAAGGAAACTGATTGTTTCAGAATTTGGATTTTTGAACCAATAGTAGGAAAGTCACAAGCTATTATTGATAAAAGCTAATTCAATATCTCCCATCTATGACGCTCCAGAACAAGTAACAATGTAGCACCTAATCAGACAATTCCTTAACAAATTAAATTACAAAATAAACCAACCAAACTCTCAAGTAGAACCCAAAAGTGGCAGAAACAATGACGGCATTGACAATCCTGACTTTAGTCCATACATCCATTTACAACATCCTTAAAACAAGCTTGCCTAAATTTATTTTTAAGGAAAACAAAACCAAAACAAAAGGCAACACACACAGTCATCCTCAACTTAGAGACTCTACAGGAAAAATTTTCCACAAAAGAATAAAATCAAAACCTTTATTACAAAAGTACCACACTACCACTATCTCCAACTCCTATTTGGGGTTATCCGGACCTAGATGCCCTGGTGGGATAACTCACAATATCAGCTATATACCAACTTATGAAAGCCTCTACTTCTCCATCAACATTTATGACGTTACTCTAAAATAATACCCCAGGTTACTTTCTAGGAAAACTGCCATTGCAGAAAATTAATGCTCTTAAACTGCAAGGTAGAAAGCAACTCCAAACTTGGACAAACTACAATTCAACCTGCATTACTAATTCTCAACTCATCACAAACAGAACACATTCCACATGCATATAACTCTATCCACAAACATACATCATAGATGACGCAAAAAAGTAAATCACAAAAGAACAAGTACTCAAACTGTCCCAGCTATATGAAAGCATCATAAAGGACTTGTTCACTGGACATAAACAAATCTACAAAAATAAAAATTTTAAACTCATTCACCTTTAAGAGCTAATATTCGAGAATTTGGATTCATAAGTGCCGAATCTGCAGTGATAGGCCTCCTCAATGGCTGCATCGGCATGCTCATGTCAATTATTACCACGCTGTTCTGAGGTGCTGTCTCCCGTACACATATGTACTTATCAGATTCCATCGTCACATTTGTGAAAGTGATGAACTGTTGATTGATCCCTACGCTAGTCAGCTGCAATCAAAGCATCACACACACCATAATTAGCCCCCAACTAAACCAACTCAAATCACAAAACACTCACGATCCAAACTGGATCAATAGATCTACAATTGAACACGACCGCAAAAAATCAAACAAATCATTGAATAATTATCCCAAACAACTAACATCCAATCAGGTAATGATCAACCTCATGAAATCTGTCAATCTCAAACTGAATATGCAAGGAACTGGAGACGAAATGACACAGAGAAATTCGGTTGAAAAATAACAAGCAAAAGGTACCGTGAGGGCTTCTTTCATGGTGATCGGAGCGTTGGCGGCCGCCATGGCGGAAGACGGATCGGAGCCTCGAGATCAGGAGTCGGGATCGGTAAAATCCCGAGAGCAAAATCGGCGTCGCAAGAGCGAGCACGCTGGAGATCTGGAGCAGCGTAGAGAAACCCTCGAATCTTCCGGCAACCAAAATAGATCGGAAGAGAGATCTAAAAGGAGATATGGTGGAGAAGGAGGGGTTGCTATGTGAGAGCAGAAAGTGAGGAAAAGCGCGTGTATATATTTCCTAGTGGAGTTCCTCTGTAAACGACACAGTAAATATGAGAACTTTGGTAGATGGAAGTTTTTTACCCTAATTAAGAGTTATAGAAATTTTTTTGACAAATATCAAAAAATTAAATTAAAAAATCATCTCCAATGCACAATTAACAAAATATTAATATGAATTAATAAAATTAAATAAATAATTAAATGGTTTGAATATGGTAATAATAATTCTCTCTCTTCTCTTCATTGGTTAATTAGAATGTGGATGAACCACATTCTTCTCTACATTGTGGACATTAATTATGTCCACATCATCACAACATTTGTGATCACATTGTACATTGGAGGATGAAAAATTGTGATATAGTTGTGGAGTGTAATTTACCACTACAGCATTGAGCATTGGAGATGCTCTAATAGTTATATACATTATTTTCACTTTAGTGCAATGATTTAGCTTAACTATTATTATTACTACTTCTTATTCTTTTTAAATGTCATTTTGACATTATCAACTATTAACAAAATAAATATCGTTTTGGATATTTTGTATATATTTTTTTTATTATTACTCTCATTTAGCTAATAAATACACTACGTCTTTTCATATTCACTCTTCATTTTTTTCTCAAAACATTCATCTCTATCCTCATTAATGAGAGTTATTATTGGCAAAAAAATATTCTTAATGATTGTGCAACTTCTCAAAACGACATTTATTATGAATGGGAGGGAGTATTATTATTTTTTTTTTGGTACAAAGAAAGGAGGTAAGAGCCTAGGAATTTGAGGCAGTTATATTCCGCAGGTAAGCAACGTCAATGAGGTCATTCTTTAGCCACCGTGGGCAACCACTAGGATATTTATGGGTTAGAGTCGCCGAACAATCAGCCGCAAAATTAGTTTCTCTATAGCAGTTGTTTGCGGTAGCCTCCCATTCCCGGTTGAGCATCAATAGTTAAATATTTGTCTAGTTATTTGATAGAAACTATTGAGATCAAAATGATTAAGTTAGAACATCTACCGTATAAATAATTTCTGAAAGCGTTAGAACCGAACACCTTAAAATCTTATGTGACAAAAACTTATGCTTCAAAGTTAAACTTGAATATAAATTAATAATTATTTACAAAATATACATAATAATAAATTTTATACTGCACTAACGTATGTATTATTATTTGACTGATTTTTTTCTTCTATTTTTTCCACCGTTAGTTAGCATAAACTATTTTAATTTTCTTTTCTTAAAGTATATTTCCTTTTATTATTTAATTCAACAACTATTATAAATGTATTTTTTTAATATTTTTTATAGTTTTATAACGTTTTATTTAAATTTTATTTTTCATAGATGATATATCAAATTATTTTTTTTTTTAACGATCTTGATCGCCTTCCACATTGCATATAAAAAATGCAAAACAGTTATATCTATCCTTATTAGTAAACTTTAAATTTATTTAACAAAACAAATTAAAAAAATCAAATAAAAAATTATAAATTATTTATAAATTGATAAAAAAATATATGTACTAAAATACCATTAAATAGTTATTTTATCTGAAAAAAGAATATTTGAACTAAGTATGAATATAAAATTAATAGGGAAAAGTATTCTAAAAATTTAGGTCTCAACTTAAATAAAGAATACAGAGAGGTTGAGCAATATAATGATATGGAAAATAAAACAATTTAAATTAATATTATAATTAACAAGAATAAAATAATAATTATATTAATAAATTTTAAAAATTTTACACTCGTACACATTATATGACGAAGTTGAAGATTTGAAAAAATAATAGATGAGAGAAAAAAAAACTATATAAATATAATATATGATCACAATATAATAAAATTTAAAAAATTAATTTAAAATCAAAATATTAAGTCTTAGATAATCCTCCCTATATCCCTATATATAATTCCCGAATGCGCTGAGCTTACGTGGCTGCTTCTGGTGCTTCGGAATCCTACTTGGCGAAGAATCATGCTTCGTAATTAGGTATAATATTGATATATTAATAATTAATAAATTAGGTTCGGACATTCCATAAATATTATTTATCTAATTTAGGTATTTTAATATCACTTGTACTAATATAACCCTTTAATTATTTGTAATTTTACATAGTGAGGCAATAAGTGACTAATATATCCCTGACTTTGATTTGTTTTCTTCAATTAGCTATTGAATTGTAAATGTATTTTAAAACTTGATAACTTTTGTATTTCTTATCAGTTTTACATATATTATATATCAAATTAATCATCTTTTGATGATCTTCGAGTTGACACTCATATTGTATATATGAAATAAATAAATTATATTTATCTTTATAATAATAATAAATAAAAATATTTATTAAAAGTTATTAGAAAAATAAAATTTTATCAATTGATATATTTATTCTTAATGTAGTTATATGTTGTAAGTTAAAAATTATTATAATATAACACAGGTAAGTCGCACAAATAAAAAGGGTTATACTAAATATATAATATATATATATATATATATATATATATACATGTGTGTGTAAGTGAGAGAGAGAGAGAGAGAGGGGTTAAAAAAATATTATTTGAGTAAGTTAAGTGTAAAACGCGGAATCATTTTGAAAAATTGTCTTTGTTAATTTTCAACTAGTGTGTATCCCGTGCGATGCACGGGTAAACAATATTAAATATTTATTATAAATAAGTATCGAGTTCGAGTCACCCCATGCAAGAAGTGAGGAATCACTATTAATCCTCTCTTAAAAGAACAAGAAAAAATAAAAATGAGGGTAAACGATATTAAATGATAATTATAAATTAACGATGTGGGGTTAACATGTCATATAATTTATGGTATATAATTTTATTATAAATGATATAAAATTAGCTTGTTCAAGAGAACATAAAATTTGTATGTTTAAACAATTAAAAACTCCTAACATACTAGCTTTGTTTTATATTGAATGAAGACTAAGACAATTTTGAAAAAAAAAAATATGTCCATTTTCAAAACTATCCTCTTGATTTTTGAAACAATAAATTTGTAATTTGACTTAATTATTGTAAATTTTTAAACTTATGGAAAAAAAATTAAAGAGACGAATTTCAATTGATTTGAAATTCTTAAACCATTTTGAATTTTGTGCAAAATGAAACCAAAAAATTTGAAATTCAGTACGATTTTGTAATTTCCAAGAGGTTTGTTAATTTTAAAGTGGCACAAAATCCTTCATTTATGGTTATTCGTCCAAGGATAGAAGCATGTGGTTAGATTTTTTTTTCAATTTGAACAAAATCCTTTATATTAGGAAAAAAATTTGAATTAATCCCAATTTTATGGCAACTAAAATGAGAAGGGATTTTGAATTTCAAGTTTTTAATTCAAGGAGGTAATTTTTTCGGCAATCTGATTGTTTGGAATAAAAAAACGCAATCGAAATTTTTAAATCAAAAATGAGAAAAGTTTTTGAATTTCAAATTATATTCAATGATCGAAATTTCTAGAACTTAATGGAACCAAATCTACCAATCTAGGCTACAATGTGATTCACGATTTTCTGTTATAAAAAAAAAAAAATCTTTTTGAAAATTAAATCAACCGCAACTTTAGGAATTGGTATTTTTTGAAAAATAAAGAATTTATTAATTTAATGGTATTAGCCGATTTGATGTTCAAAAGGCTTCAAATTGTTTGCAAATACTAAAGTTGTTTTTTATTATTAAACTAGTCGTAATTTCTTTTTATATAAAAAAAATGCAATTTGGTAATCTTATTTCTGTTAAAAAAAATTCTTTAATTTGTGAAAATGAAAATGTTACAACCCATTCTTGTGCAAATAAAATATTAACGATTTTATAATTAGATTAGTTTTGTGTTATTTTTATATATAAAAAAATATAAAAAGAATGGAATAAAAATATTGTATATTTTGATTATTAAATGAACTGTAATTTATTTTATTTAAAAATAAAAGTATCCGATTAAAACAATTGTAGTAGCCGAGTTGATGTTAAAAGAGTTTCTGATTTTTTGTAAATACTAACTTAATTTTATATTATTAAGTTAGGCGTAATTTATTTTTTTAATAAAATAAAATTTGCAATGTGGTACACAATTATATGTTAAAGAAAGTTTTTTTTATTTGTCAAAATGAAAAAGGAGCAACCTAATCTTGAGCAAAAATAAGTAACAAACTTCACTTAACAAACTCCACATTTAAATGCAACAATTAATGATGCACATTTGTAAAAAAAAAAACAAAAACTTGCTATTAATAGCATGCAATTAATGCTCAACCATATTTGACCACAGTTTGACTTGCCATTTTTAAAAAATGGTAATTTCTTATATATATATATATAGATTTTTAAAAAATGGTAATTCCTTATATATATATATAGATATATATATATATAATTCCTTATATATATATATATATATATATATATATAGATTATTAGTTGTATATTAATTTTTTTATCGTTCTATTATAAGAATATATATTTCTTTACTTCTTGTTTTGATACAAATAAATTTTATACACTCATGTTGTTCGCGGACTCAATATTAACTATCGAATAAATTAATTATTCTATTTTATTTTGACAAAAATGAAACTTACTTATTTTTCATTTTTGATTGCACAATTACTTTTTTTTTATCAAACCCGTGTATTTTAAGGACGTTGTACAAGCAGAGCCGGCCCTGGGGCAGGGCCAGCGGGGCGATCGCCCAGGGCCCAAACTTGGTGAGGGGCACAAATTATTAGAAAAATTAAAGGAGAAAT